CTGAGTCACACCCACCTCTCTATAGTCACCACCAGGTAATGAGCTCCCCTTATAGCCAGGCACTATGCTAGGATGCCCTAGAGATACGAAGTGAGTCAGCCAGTCTCTGTGCTGCTGGAGAATCTCAATTCCCAGGCTCTGACATTGTGACATGTGTAAGAACATCTGTTGAGATCTCGGGGCAAAAACTTCCAAACTGCATTTCCCCAATATTAGTATTGCATGAGACATTAATAGAAAGCTCCTACTAAACACAGTTCTAGGGCTAAATAATATTTGGGAAACATAATTATATGTGCTAACACATATTGTGAATTTTGAAGAAGAAGCTATGTATATAGTAGGTTTTGCCAAAAGTACTTGACCTGCAAACCATCTTTTCCAGGAACCCATTGGAGACAGTATCATTCCTCTGACACCATTTGGGAAATGCTGGTTTGGAAGTAGCTATAGCCCACTCAGTCCTGCTAAATGCCAAGGACCAGACTGAAGTGATTCCAATATACAGCCTGGTTAGGTGGAAAACAGATATCTCTTGGTGATTTCCCTTAGCTCTGTCTTTTGAATAATAAATAAGTTCAGTCTGCACCTGATGCTCAATTACTTACATTTCCATAAGTATATTGTGTAATTTACCATCTAGAGCTCTAATGACTTCCCAGTCTATAGTCCTAGCCCAGACTTCCCTTCCCCCTAACCCAAGAGCTCCAGGGCCCATATATCGTGCTGTCTGCTAGACAACTACCTATTGGAGATCTTTAACAGAATGTCCAACAAGCACTTCAAATGCAATTTCTCCCACATAGAAGTGATTATTGCCCTCATAAAATTCTTTTCTCCATCTGCATTCCCTGATGGCCACATTACCACCTTCCAATCAGAAACCTGGGACTTGTTCAGAATTCTACCCTCTCAGCCAAGTTGTCATTAAGTCCTCCTGATTCTATCTTCTAAGGAGCTCTTGAATTTGGTCCCCATATTCCACCCCCAACTGTCATTGTCTAATTTGGGGTCCTCACTATGCTGGTTTTCTTAGGTCAGATTTTCTGGGAAACAGACTCTGGGTTTCTGAGACTTGCATGTAGCCAGAGTATCTGAGAGAGCTATGGAGAATAGTCCCTTTTGAGGGAGTAGAGGATGAAAGACCAGGCTGAAGAAGTTGAACTTTGATAGTGGCCAGAATAAGCTCAACCAATTCTGTGGGGTGCTATAGAACTGGGTGATCCCTCAGAATTGTCCCAACATGATGCAAGGGGTTGGGGAGGGGTGCATTCCCCTACTCCCCTCACCCCCCACTGGATATAGGCAGCCTCCCACCCCACCCCCAGGGCAATTCCCAGAATGGCCCTCAGCTGAGGGCCACCAACCACCAACTCTTGCAGCAGGTGGAGGAATGAGTGCCTTACTCCTGAGGGAATTGGGATGGTAACAGCATCCTTGTCCCTAATCTTACTGCTTTCCATTTTATCCCCACAACACCACCAGCTCTGTTTTTCTAGACCCAAATTTAATCACACTCTACCCTTTCTCAAAATCTGTCAGTAATGCTCCTTACCAACAAGATAATTCAGTTGTGATCTTTGTCTACTAACATTTATCAATCCTTCATGCGCACTGCTCCCCATGCTGGGCGTGAGTTTGTCCCATGTCTCTCATTAGCAAACTCCTACTCATCCTTTCAAGCCCCATGTAAGCACACCCTCCTCTATGATGCTTTCTTTAATATCCTCAAGCAGGAGTAATAATCCTGTATATTCTTTATATAGATAGAGTCATTTACTTCTGTGATCATTAGACTGACTTCCTTTAGAGCAAAGCCTATGTCATTCACTTGTGAAGATGAACGAATGAATCCATCAGCCATGTACATCAGTATTGTATAAAGCTGGTCTACATGGGCTAATTCAAACTAACTAGAGGTGCCTTCCATCTAGTCAGCTGTTCTTTCAGAGACTTAATCTAGTTGCCCACTGAGGGCTTTCAGTTCCCAGTGAGAGGCAGGGATGCTGTTCGGGGAAATTCATCTGGTTCTGTACAGGTAGCTCAATGCTCTGAGGGATTGAGCATTTAATACAATACTTCCCATTATGTTGATGCTGTCTCTCATGTTGAAAAGGGAGATAGCCAGTGACTTACAGGATTTGTTATAAAAGGTACCATATGGCATGACTGGCCTCAAGATCTCTCTTTTACGACTGAGCTTTCCCTTCCTGTCCATTCTGAAATTCTTGCCCTCATAGTTCCCTGGAATTGGACCAGTGGTACTTTGGTTGGAATAAATGCATGCTAGGGCCTAGGCAAAGGAATTCATCTGTTGTAGAAGAGAATTTCTGTGTCTGTTTTTATTTTTCTCTTTTCAAAATTTTTATATTTTGTAATGTATATCATATAGTAGTAGAGTAGCACATATATTTAATTTATAAATAAATAATGTTAAGAAGTATACACTAAAAACATTTTTTTACTAAGTAGCACATCGTTAAAAAAAATTGGAGACCCCTAGATTGGACTCTGAAGACTGGAGTCTTTTTTTATTTAAAAAAAAAAAAAATTTTTTATTTATTTGACGGACGGATCACAAGTAGGCAGAGAGGCAGGCAGAGAGAGACAGGAGGAGGCAGGTTCCCTGCTGAGCAGAGAGCCCGATGCAGGACTCGATCCCAGGACCCTGAGATCATGACCTGAGCCAAAGGCAGAGGCTTTAACCACTGAGCCACCCAGGCGCCCCTGAAGACTGGAGTCTTCTTCAGCCTTCTTTCATTAGCTTTTCAGCTGATCTGACTGCTGAGCCAAGGCCCTAGGGAAACTCTAAAATCCAGGAACAATTAAGAATGAAAGATAGGGGCCCGCAGGAGAGCACGGCTAGGTGAGGAGAGCACAGAGACTGCATCTACACAGAGCCAATGAACCACCTTCTAGTAAGACACTGAGAACCTGGAATACAAAGAGGCTGGAGGTGGAGCAGAGGATATCCCTCCTACCTGACCCCCATTACATAAGGGACCAGACTCTAGCCCAGTCCTGAACTTGGGGCTTGGAGATCAGAGCATCCAGGGTCAACCTCAAACTCTGGACCCAGGGATATTCCCCCTCCCCTAACCTGGGACCTATCCATTTCCCATGCTCAGCCCCAAAGCTGGGATCTGGGACCAAGGCATTCTCTTGAACCCTGGACTAAGGCTTTTCCACACCCCACCCCAGCTTTGAATGCAGGTCAGGGCATTGTCAAATCCTGAACCCAGGATGCAAGTATTCCCAGCCCCCATCAGGACAGAGGATTCAAGCATCTTGCCCCTGCTGAACCTTTGGTTCCAGGTGACCCCTGCATTCACCATACCCACTTGCCCCTCTCCAGCTCTGTTTAGGGATTCTGTCCCTCCTCTCCAAAGTTCCACATTGATGAGGACCAAGGGGTAGGGTGGGGCAAGGTGGGGGTAGTCCTGATCCAGAATAGAACATCTGTATCAGTGTTACGACTACAATAAAGGCTGTTCTTTAGGAAGGGAAGGAAGGAAGGGGGAGGTGGGGAAGGGTGAGAGAGAGGAAGAAGGGAAGGGAGGAAGGGGGGAAGAAAGAGGGAGAGAGGAAAGAAGGAAGAAAGAGTGGGCGGAAGAGAGAGGGAGGGTGGAAGATAGATGGAAGGAAGAGTAACAGTCTCTACCTCAACCAGGAAGATGCCCCATCTGCCTCTCACTGTGACTGGAGCTCACGTCAGAGTATAGCCAGCCAGAAATGAAGATAGTACTGGCTGCTCCACAATGCCTATGTAGGATGATGAAAGACAGCAATCTGATTGGAGTCAGGACACAGGTGCTTTGTCTTAAGTTGCATTAGCATAACCAGAGCATCATTTTTACATAGACTATATGGTTATTTCGGGATGGCCATAGAGATTGATTGATGGGGGAATTGGGAGTGGTCTCTGGTCTCCAAGCCCCAAGTGTACACTCCCTAACATTGGAGACTGTTTGATGGGTATGACAGCATGCTATCTACAGTTTCCTTACATATGGAGTTGCCTGCGAGACAAAAAAGATCAGAAGGAGAACAAATGCAATTCCTTTTTTTTTTTTTTAAAGATTTTATTTATTGATTTGACAGACAGATATTACAAAGGGGCAGAGAGGCAGGCAGAGAGAGAGGAAGGGAAGCAGGCTGCCCGCTGAGCAGAGAGCCAGATGCGGGACTCGATCCCAGGACCCTGGGATCATGACCTGAGCTGAAGGCAGAGGCTTTAACCCACTGAGCCACCCAGGCGCCCCAATGCAATTCCTTTTTATATTGTTTTCAGACTCTTAGGCTCTTAGTATTCTACCAGGAGCAGACTATAAACCCTTCGAAGGGTACAGCCACTTCTGGCTAATAAGATTTTGCATGAGTAAAGCATTTCAGTTAACATAAATTTTGCATGCACTATTTCATACATCCTTACCACAACCCAGCAAGGAAGGGTTTTTTTAATTTTTTTTTATTTTTATTTATTTTTTATTTTTTGTCAGAGACAGAGCACAAGCAGGGGGAGCGGCAGGCAGAGGGAGAAGCAGGCTTCTTGCTGAACAAGGAGCCTGATGCTAGGACCATGACCTGAGCTGAAAGCAGAAACTTAGCCAACTGAGCCACCCAGGTGGCCCATTATTCTTATAACCATTTTGCAGAAGGTGATATAAAAATTCAAGCAGCAAGTTTGTTTTGCCAGAACACTATCTTCTGCAGACGAAGTATCTGAGGCCAAGGTGGAGTTCATTGGTTTACCACTCACAACGGACAAAGAGCAGATGCTTACAAAGCCAGGACCCACACCCAAGACTCACAGAACCCCATCTCTAAATTCTCCATCCTTATATCACGCTTGCCTCTCTTCCCACCATGGTACTAATATTAGAGCTCGGCAACCACAAAGTGGTCGGTGAGGAATGGCAAACAAATGTTACTGGCTCTGCCTTTCTACTCTTGAATCTCCTGGGCAATATGTTCTAACATCCACTGTGATTTTTTTGCAGCATGCAAAAGGAAAGAACAAGAACATGGGAAGGATAGAGGCAACACACCCAAAAAGCCCAGGTTGGTCTTCACAGATGTCCAGCGTCGAACTCTACATGCAATATTCAAGGAAAATAAGCGCCCATCCAAAGAATTGCAAATCACTATTTCCCAGCAGCTGGGGTTGGAGCTGAGCACCGTCAGCAATTTCTTCATGAATGCGAGGAGGAGGAGTCTGGACAAGTGGCAGGACGAGGGCAGCTCCAATTCAGGCAACTCATCTTCTTCATCAAGCACTTGTACCAAAGCATGAAGGAATAACCACAAACTAAACCTCGGTGGAAAAGCTTTAAATAAAAAAAAATTTTTAAAAGACCAGGACCTCAAGATAGCAGGTTTATACTTAGAAATATTTGAAGAAAAAAAAAATGTTATTTATAGTCCAAAGAAACCAAAGACTTAGCTCACCTGCATTCTGACTTTGTTCGGAGACACACACTTCAGCGGGGCAACGACTCGGCAAGAAAAACCATGAGCAGGAAAGCACCACTGGATCTCACACCTTCAATCCATGATCATTCTCTCTGTGCTTGGCTGTTTTGTGGTTTGGAGCATAGTGATTTTGAGCCAATCAGTGGACCTCTCTTAAGACCAGACTTTCTCATCTGTTCCACCATGCCTCGAAGGTGTATGGTGTCTCAGTACTGTGTGTGGGTACGTGAGTGCATACACACATACACACACACACATACACACATGCACACACCACCAGTGGTTAGGGACTTAGGCAGGGCTGGTCTTCAGGAAGGGTTGTGCTATAGGGGTGCAACCAACATAGTGTGGGGTTGTCTGAGTTCATTGGATAGGAGTGTGATTTCGCTCGTCTAGCCTAGCGTTTGAACCTGCCAGGCCCGCAACCTAAATGCAGATTCAAACCCAGCAAAGAAAATTTGAATGACACCTAAACCAGTGCATTCTCTTTGTTTGTTAAGGAATGTTCAGATATTTTTTAAGAAATGAAACAAGAGTCCATCCATTAAAAAAAAAAATCACCTAGGTACCAAAGAACACACTTAATATTATAGTGCAGGTATTTTATTGCAATGATTTTAATAACCAAAGCTATTTTTACACAAGATACTATGTAAAGTTATACGTATGAACTGATCTAGCTGTAATACACATGCCACATAGGATCATGACTATTATTTATGACTCTTGACACATTTGAAATATTAGTTTTCAGAACTGGCAAGAAAGAATGTAGCTTCAGGGAAGCAATTAATATCATAAGAGAGAGGTCAGTGTAGTGGACAGGTACAGCCAGATGGCACACTCCCTTGCGGGATCCATAAATGACACTTAAGTAGACACGTAGACATGATGCCATAATCTATTTATAGCTGAGAAAACCTGGGGATTCTTCCATAGTAGGACCCCATTTGTAAATTAGAAAACTAAGTTTAGCAGAGCAAGTAATTAAATTAGAAAATTTGTTCTAAGTAATGCTTTTTTAGTAGAAGATCACTGAATAAAGGATATCATACTTAGGTTAATTTGACTTAAATTTGCTTTATGCGTTTGACACCAAATACCTTTTTAAAATACTCTGCAAACCCACAAAGTGAGTAGACCAACATTATTATTAAAATGAACTATCCAGCATTTGTAGCCAAATTGATTTCATTGCAATCACAGATATTGTGTGACTTGGACATCACTAGAAATAGCAGATCCAACTGAGAAATGGTGGAACAGCGTAGAAAACACCAGAGTTCTAGTGGAAGACTTTAGGTTGTCTAGGCACAAAACTTTATTTCACTAAGCATAGCCTCCAAAGTGTACTACATTCTTTCTTGCTACTGCATTAAGCTGGAAATTTTATGACATGGAGTTCACTCTCTAACGGAGACAGATAGAACCCTAGACCTGAGCTTCTAAATATAAAATTTTCAATTTCTATTTTTCCGAATCACTTAACCGCAGCTGGAGAAATCAAGGGGGAAGAAAAAAAGTTGACACAGTTGTAGTAGTAGTACCCAAGTGAATCACTTGCTTCCCAGAAAAATTCTCTCTGAATGCCAATGAATTGTAACTTTTCATAGCAGAGGATCCCTTTGTACTATTAGGTAAAGAATTGGGTGCTCTTGGTTAATTACCACACCTAATTAGAAATATAAAATGAAATGTAATCTCCACAAGTTGTTGATTGAGAGTCATTAAAATGTTAAAGAAAAAAAAAATTTGAACCATCTTGACACAAAAACCTAACTCCCTAAGGTCAAATCTGAGCATCTTGTCTAGGTCTAGAAGAGACAGACACCTGGAGAGATGAAGCTATACCTACAAGCCATCTGGCTGTCCTTCATATCTGCTATAGAATGAGAAAAGCAAGCCAACACATGCTTCTCCTTTAATGAAACAGCGCATTTGCCTTGACACATTTTGTCTTAGTATTGGTTTTAATCTCACACCAAATTCCAGCTTAAAATTTTCCCTTCCAAACATGGCACAATTACACTTCAGCTATTAAAAGAGACCATTTCAATGGCCTCCCCTAGAGATTTGCTTAACATATAATCTTGTCAATGACATAAACCAAAAGGAGAAAAATGATTAACTTTTTGCCTCTCTCCGGAATGGAGGGGGCCAGGAGTACAGCTATATATTTATAATTTAGGAGGGAGGAAAGCCTTATTTATTTAAAACACGAGAATTTTAAATGCAGGGAAACTCAAGCTGTGTCTACACACAATCTTACCAAATTCAGCACCCCAGGAAAAACAAAAGTTGAATTAGAACACCATGTTTTTTTGTTTTGTTTTTGCTATATTACCCCTTCAGATTAATCTAATTGCATTTTACATTTTTGACCAATTATTTTGGTACTGTGTAGACACAGCCTCAAAGAATAGTGCTACATTTCTAATATTCCCATCATAATGGTTTTTTGAAAAATAATCCAGTGATCCTATTTGCTAACACCAAAGATAATTTTCATACCAGCATTGAATTTGCACCCATTACACAATTTCAGGGCCTAGAGATATATTTTCTCATAAGCAGATGCACAAATCAGAGCCTGAAAAGCAATTTTTTTACTAGACTGTTCAAGCATACTCACAAACTTTGCTTTTCAAAATCATAATAGACAAACTCAGCTTCTCATGAGCAATATACTCATTACATCATACATGACCGATGATTGCTTCTAACTTGGCATGTAGCATTGATTTACGGCTCAGGTTTCTTAACCTACCACATTCAGTGGAGCAGGTCATGTGCCATTTGCTCACCCATTATTTCTCAATCCTTTTGCAAAATTCACCCAAAAAGGTACCTCAGTCTTTCATTTGTATGTTTGTTGATTCCAGTGCTACACTCACATGTTTTGGGGTTTTTTTGGTAGAGGAAGTTAGACTATTTTTGACCATCAATCATTCAGGTCCTCTCATGACCAGAAGCTTCCCTGAAAGGGGGCAAAGAGAGAGTGGGAGATGTGAAGTCTGGACACTCCAAGAGCCCAGATTTCAGTAAGTCTTCAGGTAAATGAGTTCTGGATGTCAGGAACTAATGGAAGCAGCTGGCATAGATCCCCAAACACAGAATGTGGAGAAATTCAGACGTTCCAACTGAACATGTCACTCACTCTGCCCCCCAAAAAAGCATAATTACTTTTCCAGGACAAAAAAGTGAAAGTACTACGCTACTTTTGGACTCATGCCACTCCCATTGCTACCCCAGGTGAATGATCCATCTTTGCAGGTTAAATGCAAACTTTGCTATACCAAAGAGTCCTAGGACATTTTCACATGAACTCTAAAGGCATTTTCCCTAAGAAAGGTCCTCCCTTCTTTGTACATAAAGGATGAAAACTATGCATTTAGCAAACAAAGAGAAAGCACTTCTCCCTTTCCTATCTAGTTGTTTAGGGTGCATTCAACACCAGAGGCCATTTTGAGATGCAGTTGGCCTTCTGGATTATTCTTGTGGTGTGGTTAGCTTTACAGTACATTTGGTAACTATTTCCTAAATAGTAAGGACAAAGAAGCAGAAGGTAAGAAATAGCTACTTCCACGTGTTAAAAAAAGGAAAAAAAAAAAAAAAAAGAAAAAAAAGGAAAAAAAAAGTGTAAAAATCTACTATTTATAGTGTGAACCAAAGACGCTACCTCACTCAATTTCCATTGGTGATTTTAATCACATTGATGATACCAAAGAATACCAAAGATATGTTCATGCACGGCCTTGGTCTGCAGAGGGAACTCCACCTTTTTCCCCTCCCCACTTCCCCTCCCTTCCTCACTCTTCACTCAGTGTGTAAACTTGTCTTCATTCTTAATGATACGAAATGATAACAACAACATTAGGAAATACTACTCTTACTACTGCTAGTTCTACTTGTAAATCTCTAGGCGAACATGTTGCAAACTTTGTAAACTCCTAGGACGAGTGCCTTGCTTGAACCAAAGTGTTAAACCGCTGTTGACCTCTCACCTTATACTCTTTGAATACCTCAGCCTCTTAGAAAGGCCACTAATGAAAAAAAAAAAAAAAAGGAATAATTATTCACCGTGGTGCTTTTTCCGTGCAACCATGCAATGAAACTTTCTTTGATACCAAAGGATGACGCCCCCCCCACCAATTTCTTGCTGATAAACCAAAGCTCCTCCTCCTCGTTCCCTCTCGAGGTTCCCCAACTTCACCGAGTCCCTTCACCAGGCAGGCCGTGCATCACTTTTACCAATTCCTCCAAATACCTCATAGTAATAAAGTTTTAGGGTTATGTTGTATAGAGAGTCTATGTGATAAGGCAGAACTTACTAGTTTGATAATTGTTAAGGTTACTTTTAAAAAAAACTTTATAATTCTTATTTATTTTGTAGTTTGTATGTTTGGGATGTCCCCCCCCCCTTCGGTTTGGGGTTTATTTTCTTGGCAGAACTGCTCTGTTGCTCAAGGAAGACTTAATTTCCGGAAATGTTCCCCCAGGTGGGTTAAGGGTTGTGTAAAAATGCAAGAATGGAATAAGAAATGATTCTCATTTTGATGGTTACTTATGAAGTTTTTGTGTTTAGTAGTAAATTTGTTTCCACAGGGTAAAAAAAAAAAAAATATATATATATATATATAATCTCCTTTTTGTGAAACTGGTTCCTATTTTTCTCTATAATGTGCTGTGATTTTTTTAATTTAATTACATTTTATATGAGCTTATTTAATCACTGCTTTAATTTATGACTGTGTAGTTTTTATGGTGTATATAGTCGAATTGAAATGGCCAAAGCTTTACGTTACAATCTTTTAGTTCTTGACGCTAAGATAAGCTGAAGGCAAGAGCTTCTCTTAACAGCAGGGTGTATCTTTAGCTTTTTCTTAGCGCGCACTTCAGTGTGTGTTGTGAACACTGCCAGGATCCCCCCTCAAAAAACTTGTACATGCCAAAATGAGTGTTTCAAGGCAGTCCTTTTTGTCACTTAGAAAGGAGAAAGGTGTTTATTTGTGTTCTTTTAATTTATTAATTTTTTTAAGAAAAGATTATTTTGCAGGTTAGACCTGAAATTCCAAAGAATTTAAGAGCTGTTTCATGTTTCAAAGCACCGGCATTTGTGAGATACTTTGCTACTTTTTTTTTTTTTCTTTAATCATTCACACGGGTATGAGAAGTAAAGGGTGTGAAAAAAAACTCAAAGAGGCAAGCTAACTTGAATTTGGAAATCCTCTGAAGTTTCACCAGGTTTCTGAACTGCTTCAAGGCAAAGGGGCAGGGCAGAGGGGCAGTTCCTCCTGCAGAGCCAAGGAAAGTATAATGGCTTCATGCCCTAACAGAAAGTCAAGGCTAAGAGGCAGCCGGCCCATCTCCAGCCTGGCTGGCCAACCCATGGAAGAAGCAACATTTGATTGCTTGGCCCCAGTGATCAAGGAAAATGCTTCACAGTTACACGTTCCTCTCCACATCCGTTTCTTGTAATGTGCTACCTACAATTTCCCCCAACACCGCCTCCCCCCACCCCTGCTCCAACCAAAAGGGCAAGAGTCCCAAGTGAATGTCCCCTAGCTCTGTTAGAGTTGGTCTCTTATCACTCTTCGTCTTCCCACTACTTCTCTTGTCCATACCAGAGATGGGCCCTACCCCAGGCTCCCAGAATCGAGGCTGTTCAGATACTTGGTCCTGCTTTAGGTCAGCACACAGACATAATTCTCAGCCAACTAGGGGCATCCTCAGAAATGCCGGTGCCCACTGCTTTTTGTTTTACATTGCTGAAATAAGTTGCTTCAACTCCATGGCATAAATCCACAGATGTAAATACTTTTCCTCTCAATACAAGGATTTTATCTTATTTTCTTTTGCAGGGGTCTTAGGGGTGGGGAAAGAAAGGGAGGGCTTAGACTTGGGGTCAAATGTTCCATTTTCTTAGAAACATTTTTATACTTGTTACGTATGTTAGTAGGGCAATAAATCTGCTCTGAGCTGCAGGATGATTGGCGAGCATTGACTAGTTATTGTTTTTAATACAAATGCTGAGCAGCGAGTTACAGAAAGCCCAGGAACATGGTTGAGGAAGTAGACTTACCATCA